CCCTCCTGAAGGCCCTTCTGTTTAGCATTTTCTCCAGCTCCGCCGTCGCTGAGGAAGGAATGGTTTTGTCTCTTTGCTGCTTGTTGAAACGCATGCGGCTTCTGCTGGGAGCGCCCGCATGCACAGCCTCACTCATTTCCAGCACAGACCCGTAACCGAGCCACAGCCTCCGCAGGCAGCGCAGCAGCCTGGCCGGCGCAGAAGCGGTCGGGGGGAAGCGGAGCGGATGGCTGCTCCTCCCGACTCACCGCGCCGTAACCGAGCCACAGCCTCCGCAGGCAGCGCAGCAGCCTGGCCGGCGCAGAAGCGGTCGGGGGGAAGCGGAGCGGATGGCTGCTCCTCCCGACTCACCGCGGGGTGTTTTCCCCTGTCCCGTACCGCAGACGGTGCCTGCGTGTTCTGAGCCCCGGGTGGAAACTGCTGGTCCTCGCAACCGCGAGCAGATGTGAGGCCAGTCGGAAGAAGTGATGTTACACATCTGCACCCGACTTACACCACGGGGAAAATCACAGAACCACAGAACGCTCTGGGTGGGAAGGGACCTTTAGAGGTCATCTAGCCCAACCCTCCTGCACTGAGGAGGGACATCTGCAACCAGACCAGGCTGCTCAGAGCCCAGCCCAACCTGGCTTTGAATGTTTGCAGGGATGGGGTCTCCACTGCCTCTCTGGGGAATCTGTGGCAGTGTTTCGCCCCCTTATCATAAAAAATTTCTTTCTTCCATCTAGTCTAAATCTACCCTCCCTTAGATTAAAGCCATTACTCCTTGTTCTATCGCAATCAAATGTGTTTGGTTGTGTTCCTTTTGCTGAGCTGAAGATGGCAACTAAGGTTTTTAATGCCTCAAAGCTTTTTTTAAATATAAAAGTTTTTAAAACCTCAGAGCTCCTACCAAAATCACCTGGTCTGCCTTGTTCTGCTGCTGCCAGCTCAGGCAGCGTTGGATGAGGAGGGAGCATCTTCTTCCTCCTCACATCAGGTGTCAGCGGCAGAGCACGGACCTGAGCCCCATGGAGCCCGAGCCCCCAGCCCTAACAGCCTAGAGCTTCTCCCCCCTTTCGCTTTCCTTTCCCAAGGCTGCACTAAGGTGAATATTAATGAAGTTAATATTAATGCAGTTAATATTATCATGCTTCTCTGTGTTTCTGCCTACACCCCCCGACTTCCCTGCGGGTTTCACCAGCAGCCCGGCTTCCCGAGCAACGTCCGAGGGTGCTCGCCGGGATGACCCGCGCTGGCTGCGCTTTCCCTCCTGAAGCTGGTGACCTGGAACAGGGCCTGAATCTCCCCAGTGCTCCTTCCCGAAGAGCTCGGGGGAGCCTGCCCGTGCCCGTGCCTCGTGATGCGGACATGGTTTAGCAGGCATGGTGGTGATGGGGTGACAGCTGGACTTGGTGATCTTAGAGGTCTTTTCCAACCTTAATGATTCTGTGATTCTGTGATCCTGTGCGGGTGCTTCTGCCCTGCGTGTGGCCCCCAGCCCCCCCCAGCCATCCTCCTGCCCTGCTGCTGCTGCCGTTGCCTCCGGATCTGGCTCTCCGGGCACCGCTGGGCTGCGTGAAGGCCTGTCTAACTCAGACTGCTGGCAAACACTTCAGAGAAAGGCTTTCTTTGTCAGAGACAGACAATGTCTTTGCAGCAGTGAGCAGATAAAAGCTGCTTCGGTGGAGGGTTGAGGAGGCTCCGGTCGGGCTGTCTTATCCTTTCGGCTGGGAAGGCAGGAGAAGAATCAAACATTGCGTGTGAGTAGGAGGGGAAATATTAAATACTGTAGACTGAAAGCAACAAAAGAGCACATAGACAGCTCTCCCCCATTCCCTTTTTGCACATAATTATACAATAAACAATTCAAAAGAGACTAGACGAAGAGGATTACGGGATCAGAGAGTTTTCCTCATGTTTACCAGCAGCTAAAAATAGACCCAAGCAGTTGTCCTGGGTGCAGCTTCAGAGTTAGTGCAATTTGGCAGCGGCCTCTGGTCTGGCTGAATGCAGCAGCAGGCTACAGCAGCACACGCGTACAGCCCAGCAAATGGGGCAGGGTTAAATAAATACCGACAATTACAATCAGAGCCCCCGTACGGGAGACCTGAGAAGACACAGCGGAAGAAATGAAAGAGCGCGACGTGCGTGCAGGGTGTGTCTCTCCGTCCCCTCTACCTCCTCTCCTGGCACTTGAAGGATGGAGCGGTTGGAGATGCCACAGCCCCGGGTCCCCCTGAAACACACTTGCTGGGCCCACGGCAGCAGCCAGAGGAGAAACCTCCCAGCAGAGAGCAAAGGAAGGAGCTCTGCCAGGCGGTACCTGACGCCAGCAGATGGAAACGGCTGCGGCAGCCCCCGGCTGAGGGCAGGAGCGGGACCGGAGAGACTCAACCAGGGGATGAACGCACTGACCGCAGTGGGAATAGCAGAGTTACAGAAGGCGATATAGTCAGAGAGTTACATACAGTTCTCCTCCCCCTCTACTCTGCCCTAGTGAGGCCCCCATCTGGAGTACTGTGTCCAGTTCTGGGCTCCCCACTTCAAGAAAGATGAAGAGCTACTGGAGAGAGTCCAGCGGAGGGCTACAAGGATGGTGAGGGGACTGGAGCATCTCTCCTACGAGGAGAGGTTGAGGGAGCTGGGCTTGTTCAGCCTGAAGAAGAGAAGGCTGCGAGGGGACCTAATA